CGCCTGAAGACGGCACCCGCGCCAGCGGCCCTGGGCGAGGCGTCAGGACAGTGGATGGCCGAGGGCTCGTCGAGGCAGGCGTCGATGCGGTCGTCGGTGCTGACGTCGCTGTTGGGGTCGATGCGGGCCGTGGCGCAGGCGTAGGTGTCGACGTGGCGGACATGATACGGCGTGGCATGGCGGCCCCAATAGCCGTGGGTGTGCCTGATGGCGTCGATCTCGTCGTCGATGCCGCCGTCGGTGCCGACGATACTGAGGCCGACCCTGTCGTCAATGCTGGCGTCGGTGCGGACGTGAGCGCGGGAGCCACGGCCGTGTATGCCGACGTGGATGCAGTCATGGGTGCTGTCGTGGATACCGCTGTGGAGGCCGTTTGGGGTGCTGCCGTAGATGCCGACGTGGGTGCCAACATTGGTGCCGCCGCCGGCGAGTCTGCCACTGCTGACGTCGAAGGCGGTCGCCCGAAAGCTGTCGCTGCCGATGTGGACGTCCCAGCTGCCGTCCGTGGTTGCGTCGACGACTGTGGAGGGATCGGGAATTTAAGGGGGTACAGGTGCGATCGGGAATTTAAGCGGGTACAGCCCCACTCGGACTGAGTGGCCCGCCCGCCCCACCAGGCCTTGAGCCAGCCTTGAGCAGACTGTACCGATGGTGTCGTCGATGTTGTCGTCGATGCAGACTGTGCCGCAGACGATGAAATCGACGAGGCAGACGTGTCATGACATGACATGGCGGCCCCACTAGCGGAGAGTGCGCCTGAAGGCTGCACTCCCGCCCGCGGCGCTGGACGAGGCGTCAGAGCAATGACTGGCTGAGGACTCATCGAGGCTGGCCACGATGCGGCCGTCGGTGCTGACGTTGATGTGGACGTGGGCGCCTCAATCGATGCGGTGGTCGGCGGTGCTGGCCTAGGGACACCCAGGGTCGTCGGCGGGATGGGATAAATAGTGGGTGGTGCCGCTGGCGGTGCTGTCGCAGGAGCTGTCGTCGGTGCTGGCCTCGACGCAGACGTCGGAGCTGGCGTCGACGCTGGCTGCAACTCTGGCGTGGGTACGGGCGTAGGCGCAGGCGTAAGTGCTGACGCTGGCGGTGCTGGCGTAGGAGCTGTCATCGGTGCTGGTCTCGATGGAGACGCCGGAGCTGGCGTCGATGCGGCCTGCAACTCTGGCGTAGGTACCGACGTAGGCGCAGGCGTGGATGTTGACGCTGGTGGTGCTGTCGTAGGGGCTGGCATCGGTGCTGGCCTCGATTCGGACGTCGGAGCTGGCGTCGAAGCTGGCTGCAGCTCTGAGAGACGATGATGCCGAGGAGAGGTCTGTAGGTCACCAGGCTTCGGCGGGCCTGAAGGCGCCGCCGAGCGAGTGGCCGTACAAGGAGCGCAAGAGTGGCTGGTTTTGGTGCTGGCGTCTCTTGCGGCCGTCGGGGCTGTCGCTGGCAGTACTGGCGTCGCTGCCGTCGATGCTAACGTCGGAGCCGCCGCTGGCAGTGGTGGCATCGCTGCCGTCGATGCTACCGTCGGAGCCGGCGATGCTATCGATGCCGCCGTCGGAGTCTGTGAAACTGCGGGCGGAGCCGTCGTCGCTGCCGTCGAGGCGGCCGTCGGAGCCGACGATGCTAACGATACTGACGTCGGAGCCGGCGGTGCTAACGATGCTGCCATCGTAGCTGCCGTCTCTGCTAACGATGCTAACAGTGCTGCCGTCGGAGCCGTCATCGCTGCCGTTGATGCTGCCGTCGGAGTCGGCGAAGCTGTGGTCATTGCTGCCGTCGATGCGAGCGTCGATGCTGGCATCGGAGCCGGCGTCGGTGCAGCGTCGTCAAGGTCGTCGTGGTCGTCGTCGTCGTCTCCTCCTCCTCTAGCGGGGCTGGGCGAGGGAGGGGGCGGGGATGGTGTCGAATCTGTGCACCCCGCTGGCGTCGCGGCTGACTGCAGTGCCGTCGTTAGAGTTGGCTTCGGTGCTGTCTGCGGTGCTGGGGCGTGGTCCGTCATGGACGTGGGCGTGGGTGCTGCCGAGGACGATGCTGGCGTCAATATTGACGTCGATGCGGGCATTGGCACGGGCGCTGACGTCGACAAGGCGGACGGGTCATGGCATGGCAGGGCAGCCCCACTGACGCCAGGTGCGCCTGAAGACTGCACCCTCGCCAGCGGCCCTGGGCGAGGCGTCAGGACAAAGGATGTTGAAAGGCTCATCACTGCAGGTGCCGAGGACATGACATATCGTGGCATGGCGGCCCCCGCAGCCGAAGGTGCGCCTGAAGACTGCACCCTCGCTGGCGGGCACGGGCGAGGGGACAGGGCAGGTGATGACGGTGGGCTCGTCGGGGCTGGCGTCAATGCGGTCGGCAGCGCTGGTGTCGATGCTGGGGTCGATGCGACGACAAGCATGACGGCGGCGAAAATGGTGGCACGTTTGGGGCGGGCCAGCCCCGCCGTGCCCTTGGAGCCGCAGGCGGTGCTGATGGCGCCGAAGATCATGCTGCCGACCTTGACGGCCCTTTTAGGGTGGGCTGGACCCGCCGTGCTGGTGGAGTCGACGATGTTGTTGACGACGCTCCTGGTGCCCGTGCCGATGGTGCGCAGGACCGCGTTGACGATGCCGAGAACGATGCCGAAAGTGGGGCCGAGGACGCACCCGAAGTTCAGCGGGATAATGCCGGTGAAGGTGAGGGCGGTGCTGGCGAGGCCGCGGAAGCGCTCCCGGGGGGGGGTCGGGGTCCGGCTGCTTGTCGCGCACGGCGCGACGACGGCAGGCGTGGGACCCGCCCGACCGCTCTCAGCACCGTCTCCCTCAGCAGTCGGGAGCCCGACCCCCCCCCGATTACCTGGCCGTAGCGGGGTGGGCAAGTGCTGGACGAAGTCGTCGGTGTCGGCGTTAGTGCCGTGTGGGTGAGCGTGGTGGTCAGCTCGGTGCGCGCGCAGCTCAGCGCGCAGGTGGTGCACGTCGTGCTCTAGAATGCGGAGATCTTCGTGAAGATTCGCTCGAAGCACGCGTGGGGCGTGGCCAGGTGGTTCAGGAAGGTCGCGCCCGTGCAGGACGGGCACGTAGATGACAAGGTCCTGGTGCCTATGCTCGATGAATTGGCAGTGGCATTCTCGAAGCGGTCCAGGCAGTAGCTGAGGGTGAAACGAACTGCATGTGCGGGCATTGCGGCGCTGGGCTGGTGGCTCCATGGCGGCAGTACCTGCGTAGACTTGGGATGGGGTAGGAGGCATCAGCATGACAGTCTCGCCGCGCGAAGGCTGCCTCCTGGGGCTCGCTCTGAGTGGATACTCTCGAGCCGAGACTAGAAAGAGAGAGAGAGAGAGAGAGAGAGAGAGAGAGAGAGAGAGAGAGAGAGAGAGAGAGAGAGAGAGAGAAAGAGAGAGAGAGAGAGAGAGAGAGAGAGAAGAGAGAGAGAGAGAGAGAGAGAGAGAGAGAGAGAGAGAGAGAGAGAGAGAGAGAGAGAGAGAGAAGAGAGAGAGAGAGAGAGAGAGAGAGAGAGAGAGAGAGAGACCGGACAAGTAGGCGGACCAAGGTCCGTCCTCGGGGCGCACTGCGGTGCGACAACCCGAAAAACACTGTTAGCGGCGGTGCAGCCTTAAGATACGAGGGCGGGCGACAGGCCCCCTCCCCCGGCGCAATGCGTCTGAAGCAAAAGACGGCGGACAGACCATGAAGATCTCACCTGTCAGACCGCGGGAAGAAGAAGGCCCCAACGCGAGTGGCGACGTGAAGAACGTGGCTAAGGCGGCTTGGCGGACCGCCGGTTGGGCGCTTGGCCGCTGCGCGGCGCGCAGAGACGGGGCACCCCCCGCCCCCACGCCCAGAGAGAGAGAGAGAGAGAGAGAGAGAGACAAACAAACAAAACAACAACAACAAACAAAGATATTGCACGATGGCCCAAAACGCTCCGGGGAAAGCTTTGTGGGGATGACCCCGGATGCGCTGGGGCTTGGATCCTGGAATACCGCGGGAATGCCACGACTCGGAACGAGGAGGGGGGGGGACGGACGAGGAGGAGGAGGAGAGGAGGAGGAGGAGGAGGAGGAGGAGGAGGAGGAGGAGGAGAGATGAAGAGGAGGAGGAGGAGGAGGAGGGGGAGGAGGAGGAGTCAGTCTTGGAGGCCTCCGCTGGGGCCCCTGGGCCCTTGGAAGGCCCTAGGGCCCCCCATGAGGAGGCGCATCGAGGTGCGCAGGTGGCCAAGGCCCTTAAGAGTGACAGATGACGACGACGACGACGACGACGTCGACGACGACGTCGATGACGACGACGACGACGAGTCAGAGGCGAGATGGTGTGGTATACAGTCAGTCCGTTGAAATAAGGTCCAGTTTGGGGTCGGGAGGGGCTCGGTGGTTCCTTAGGTTTGCATGCAGTCCGTTGCTTTCTGGTGGCGAGCCCCCTCGGTGCTCCTCAGTTTGGGCACGCGCGGGTTCGTTCTGTCGATCAGGGCGACCCGAGAGGAGGAGGAAGAGGCTCGATCGTTCCTGATTTCAGCAGCCCGATTGGATTCTTCGAGATCCTCCACACAGTGCTTACATTCAGGGCTTGTTACTTGTCTTGATGAGCACTTTCGTGGGTCCCCCGAGGTTTCGCCTGGTGGGCGGCCAGGGGCGTCTTGTGGACGCCCCGTGCGCCGGCGGGGTCCTTCGAGGTTTCGCTGGGTGGGCGCGTCGTGGGCGCATCGCTCGCTGACTACATGTGGACCCGACCCCCACCCCCCACGGTTTCTAAGGGGGGGGGGGTTCACTTCGTTCGGGATTCGCCATTCTGGCCCAGGCAGTTCTGGGCTTGCGACAGCTGCCTTCCGAGCGGCGGTCGCCGTCGCGTGCCATTTGGCTTGTCCAGTTGCGAAGTAGCTCAAACTCCGCAGTGCGCGCCTCTCGAGCAGAGGCATCCATGGATGACGACGTGGTCCGCGGTCCCAAGACCCCCTTCTGGGGTTGCCATCAGCGCGGGCTCGCGTCCAACTGGGCCGGCCGCTTGCGCTGCAGGTGCGGCGCCAGGGCCCCGCAGGCGGTGCTCAAGCGGGCGCAGGGCCTCGCGGGCATGGAGGGGAGCGGCAAGGGCGCTGGTCGCGGCGCTGGCGGCGGCCGCCCCCCTGCTGCTGGGTCCAAGCGGGAGCAGCGCTTGGAGACGCAGCTCGCCGAGCTCACGCGCAAGTTTGACCAGCTCACTTCGTCTTGGCGGTCATCGGCGCAGCAGGGCGGCGCCAACGGAACGGGGGCAGGAGGCGCTGCCGCGGCTGATGGCGAGAGTGGCGGTGAGGACCCCTTGCGCGCTGAGGCCGCCCTGTTGGAGCAAGCCATCGCCGCGTGCAAAGGGGATCCGGCTGCGGCGGCGAAGAAGCTGCTTGAGGAGCAGCTCAAGTCGATCCGTGGCAAGATCGAAGCGAAGAAGCCAGACCTCACTCAACACAACGTGGTGCATCGGCTCAATCGGTGCAGGGCGCGTCTGGCCAACATGCCAACATTGGCGATGACGTGTCCGCCTGCCAGCAGCGTCTTGATAAGCTGCAGCAGGAGAAGGAGAAGCTGGAAGAGAAGCGCGCCGCTGCTGAGGTAGAGCGCGCTGAACTCCAGCGGCAATTGGTGGCATCTTTACCTCTGGGCGAGGCTCCTGTGCTGGACCCTTTCGGCGTTCCTCAGGAGCTGCTGGATGGGAAGGCTGAGATCAAGAATATGCTCGAGTCGGACGCCTTCAAGAAGTTTGCCGCGCTGTATCGGTCGCGCCCCCAAGTCCCACATCGGCCTCATGGTGATGAGCGGCCTGCTGCAAGTGATGGCGTGGGTGGTTCTGACCAGCAACCTGTGCCCATGGACGAGTTCGATGACCTTTTCGAGGACAGCGTGGGGGCTGAGCAGTTCTGGGACAAGCACAAGGGCGACAAGCGTGCAATCCTGGATGCCCTTCTCGGGGCTCGGGCCAAGAGGCCCAAGATGCAGCAGCTTTGACGATCTGCTGGACTTCCCGGAGTGCGCGGCCGGTGACAGTTTGCAGAATGGTCGATGTGTTCGCGTGGACGGCATCGACCTCTTCGATGCATGTATCACATGGCGCTGGTTGGTGGAACAGGACTATCGCGAGATGACGGATCTGTGGTTTCTGCTTCAACACCTCAGTCGGCGCTGGGATGTGACTTGTGAGGCTACCGTGCTCGTTCGCATGCCTGTGTCTGCCGCTGGATTCCATGATCCTGGCGGCCTTTTCTCTCGTGCTGTGCGGGCCCCATTGGCTCCCAAGCGCGCAGGTTTCAAGCTTTCAGCTCACGGCGTAGGCTGCGCGCCCAAAGCCGCCCCCCAGGTTTGCGTTGATGACGGGGGGCATGTGTTTGAGAGCTACAACGGGGACAGTTGGGGCACACTTAAGAAGAGGTTAGCTTCCACGAAGGCCTTTGTTCTGTGCGCGCAGGAGGTCGGGATCGCTGATGAGACCCTGGGTGCTCGGACAGTGCGGCCAGGAGTCTGGGGGGGGGAACAGTGCCTCGCAGACTGAAGTTCGCCGTGGTTGATTTACCTGGGTGGCCGCCGCTGCTGTAAGGTAGTGCGCACTTGTTCACGGGGGAAGGGTTGAGTCAGAGAAACGTGCGCGCGCTTCAGATGGCGGGGGAGGTGATGGAAGGATCTCAGTTAGATTGAGTTGGGGCTGATTGGAACTTCGGCTCCGCGTGCTTAGAGATGCCAGGCGTGCCGTGGAAGGCGGGCATGCCCATCTTGCAGCCTGGGGCGGAGACGTGCGTCACGCCCAAGGCTAAAACGCATATCGATTACTGCGTGGCCGCGGCGGTTTTCAGGGAGCTGTTGCACCAGATCACGGTGGACAGCCAGTGGGTTAAGCGGCCCCGTCGCTTTGTGCAGCTTCGTACCAGGCCAGGGGCTGTCGAGTTGCACCGGTTAGCTTACACCAGTCACCAAAGGCCCCCAGCGGACTTCCCATGTGGACCCTCCAGAGAGCCCGATGACTGGACTGAGGCGAGGGCCGCGGCCGAAGCGGCCAACCTCGTCGCCGATCACCAGGGCGTTGGCGCGGCCTGGTATGCGCTGGATGGGGCTTGGAAAACTTTCTCGGACGCGATGGAGCTCGAGTTGGAGAGTAGGCTCGGCGCCCCGATCCGCAAGGAAGGCAAGAGAGGCCATCCCCCGCAGGCTCATTGGGCCCCTATGTTACAGGCCCCCAAGACGAAGGTGGAAGATGAGGTGCCTGTCTGGGTCGGGCGGGCCTGGCTGGGGCAGAGCGCTGAGGACCTGCTTGACACGAGCCAAAGACTGGTTGCGCAGATGGACTCGATGGTAGATCCGTCTGAAGGCCAAGCTGCCGCCAATTTAATTGAGATTGTTCCCCAACCCTTCGAGTCCGAAGGGATCTCGCCCAGGTTGGACCTCACCGCTGCCGAAGCACGTCAGGCGATGGCCGAGTGGCCGCGCTCGCCGGCGGGACTAGCGCGCTGGGTCGACCAGTTCGCCGAGCAACTGGAGGAGTGGGAGGAGGACTTCTCGGAGGCGAGGGGGGGGGGGCTGGATGGGAAGGAGAAAAAGGGGTGGGATCAGTGGCGAGCCGAGGCTTTGGCGGGCTCAGCGCGCGAGATGCACCGCCTCATCCGTCTGAGAGCCAAATGAGGACCCACGGTGACCAACAAAGCTCCAAGTGTTCTTTTCCTCCGGCGGACCCCCCCCCCTGTTTAACTGGCCGAGGAGGCCGATGTCCTTGGGTTTTTTTGGCGCGCTACCTCTTCTCCTCCCCCTGTGGAAGTGCCAGACAGGAGCTGTTTTGATCGACTCTGCGCTGAGGAGATCCGTGACGCTGCGAAGACATTCTCGCTGCACACAGCGCAGTCCTTCGACGGGGTGCACGTGCGTCCGTTTGCTTGCATGTCGGACCCGGGGCTGGACACCCTGGCCTGTTTGTTTCAAGCGTCTGAGAAGCTTGGGCTCATCCCTCGGGCCCTGTGTTGGATGTTGTTCCCATGCTGGAAAAAACCCCAGGGGGGGCTGCGACCGGTCTTGTTGTTCGGCCCCCGTGAGGCTCTGGGAAAATTTGCGCCGCCCAAAACTCACGCCCCTTAGTGACCGCCACCCCCGCAAATACTGGCCCCCTTCGGAGCTGGGAAGTCGGCGGGAGCTCGCGCCTGGGGCCAGGCGGCCAAGGCGGAAGCCCAAATGGAAGGAGGAGGGGTTGTGGCAGGTTTTTCGTGGGACGGCACGACATGCTATGAACGTTTTGATTTACTCTGAAAGAACGAAGCTTGGATGCTGGGCTTGAGCCAATAGTAGCCAAGATGGTGTACAATTGTTGAAGAGGACCTCGTGCCCTGCGATTAGATTCGGACCGCAGCTTGGCGGTGCAGCATGCGTCGAGTGGCTTGCCAGCTGGGTCGTGCTTCAATGATTTTTTTGTGCGCGTCTACGCCATGGCGCCGTTCGACGGCTTCGTGGCGCGCAATCCCTCGGTCGATCTGTCGTCGTCCACTGATGATGACACGGTCAGTTGCTATGGGCCGCAATCTGAGGTGCTTGATTCTCTGGCGTCTGCTGCCAGGGGCCTCCACGATGTTTTCGTGAATGAGTTGCGGGTGAGCCTGGCCCCTGACAAACTGATGACCTTCGCCTCGGACCGCGAGGCCGCTCGTCGCCGCGGGGAACGCCTCGGAATCCTGGCCGGCCACGTCGGCGCGCACGTCGTCTCCTCGGGCTGCGATTTGGCCCCTGGGGGCCACGGGGGCGACGAGGGGCATTTGGCCAAGAGGCGAAGGAGGGCCCAGGACACGATTAAGAGGCGTAGGATTCTTAAAAGATACCAGGGAGCGTTGCCCCGCGACAAGCGCCGCATGGGTAATATTTACGCGGCGGGGGTTAAGCCTGCTCTCGCGCGTGGTGATACCATCGTCGGCATGACCGACGCGGAGCTCAAGCGTGCGCGCAGTGTGCTCCTTCTTTCCAGGATCCGATGCACGCTGGCATCTCCGCCCGCGCGAAGATTGCGCTCGCGGGAGACCCGCTCTGGAGGGGCATGGCCGCGCCCGCCATCGCCTGGGCCCAGGCCGCGCGGCGTTCGATCACCGAGCCCGACTATGCCGCCTTCTCGGTCAAGGACCTGCGCAGCATGTGGAGGGAGGTCAAGAGCGAAGGATTCGCTTGGGACAGATCGACAGGACCCATCAGCCTCTCACTCGAGCGAAGTGGTTGGAAGGCTGTTTCGCCTCTGAGCTGGATCGATGGCGAAGATGCGGGGCCCAGTTTGTTTCGCGCCGCCCCCTCCATGGTGTCTTTTCTTTTGTGTCGAGGTGCCCAGCGACGCCGCGGGCGGGTTTTGGCTTCCAAACGTGGCCGGGGCCCCGGGGCCCGCGCGCGCGCGTCGAGCCGACGCGGAAAACCATGAACCCTCGCGCCAAAGGGATCGGGCTGAATGCCCAGGGGAAGCACTTGGTCAAGACTGCGTTTTGCGAAGGGTTGTGGACGGAGGACCGCGCCCAGAAGACAGGGTGCCTCTGTCTTGGCCGCTGCCCTCTGCGCCAGGAGCCCGACTCTGTAGGGCGCCGCCTGTTCGAGCGCCAGCGCGCTGAGGTCGTCGCTGCGAGGGGGGGGCGGAGATTCCAGATAGTTTCTGCCGCAATGCATCATCCATCGGCGACGGCGCGTCCTTCACGGGGCTCAAGATGGGGCGCCAGATGTAGCGCTGGCCGAGCGTGAGCGATGACCTCGCGCCTGTGCTATATAATGATCGAGGGGGAGAGGTAGATCGGAATCAATTCGGTTGTGCTGGACTATCATGCTGGGGGCGGGTCTTGTGTACCGCGCGCCATTTCGCAGTTGTCGCGGGCGGCGTGCTCTTGGGTTTATTTGATGAGGAGGGCAACCAGCGTTTCGCAGCCCGCGGAGCTGCGTGGCCCTCTCCGCCGCAAACCAGTCAGGCTGCGGAGCAGCTGCAGCTGGCGTCACTGCCCATCATCGCGCCGCAATTTGGATTGCAATAGATCAACGAAGGTATGAATGCCGCTCGGTCACACAAGAAGAGCCCCACATAACAGACCCCCCCGAAGCAGCGCTACGGAGGGTAAAGGCGAGGTGCCCTGATCCATGTGCGCGAAAACAAGTTTGCCCCGGCTGTTCGCACGCCAGCCCATAGGAAGATGGACATCGAGATGCTTCCGCAGCCCGAGCGCAGGCTGGGACAGGCCAACTGGAGGGCGGACCTTGAGGCCAAACGAGCGCTCGAGATCCACGCGCGCCCCTCTGACGCCGAGAACCAGGAGCGAATCCATGGCACCCAACAGCTTGAGCTTGCTGCGCGTTTGATGGCGGCGGTGATGCCGCTATTCCCTCGCGCCTCCCACCAGAGACCCCCTAAGCGCGTGGGGCCGAGGAAGGTCTTCGGGAAAGCCAAGTCTTGGCATGTCTGGGAGAAGTCCATGCGGGGTTTTAGGTGCACGCAGTGTTTGGTCTTCTATGGGGGATCCGTCCAGGAGAGGCCCGAGTTAGGATGTGGGGGTTTCCCTGAGCGAGTGGCCGAGCTGTTAGCTTCTGCTCCCAAGCATGGCCGCAAGCTCGCGAGTACCCAAGTCGGCGACGAGAAATTCCCTTTGTTGTTTTGCCTGACGTGTGGGGCGTACTCGCAGCACAAGAGTAGAGGCCTGGCAGCAATTTGCAAGCCAGGTAGCAAGATCAGCGGAGGTCAGGCCTTGTTTCGACTGCGCCGTGGACTCCACCCGCTGCGCAAGGTAAGTGTTTCGTGCGCTGAACCTGAAGACGCGGTTTGGCGCGATGAGGCAACCCTTGAGGTGGCTCGGACGGGTGCTGTTAAGGCCTCTGCCGCCCCGATGCCACGCTTGAAGGCCATCCGGTCCGCATAGCGGCGAAGGAGGCCGCGAGCAGGTAGGCTGTGTACTGTGAAGCTGGTCGGGCTACCGTGCCCCCCCCAAAAAAAAACACTTCGTTCGGGAGCTCCCGAGCGAAATGACCCCCCACCCCCTTTGGAAATCGTGGGGGGTGAGGGTAGGGTTCGCATGTGGCCACCTAGTCGTGGGCGACCCCTGCGCTGGCAAGCTCGGCCGAGGGAGGTTTCGCCTGGCGGGCGCCCGTGAGGCGCATCGGGGGGAGCGCCCCGTGCGCTGCGCCGAGTCTGCCCGTGGGCGCGCCGTGGGCCGCTTCGCGCGCCGGCGCGCCCCGCCGAAGCCTCGCCCGCTGGGCGCGTCATGGGCGCCTCGTGGGCCGCTTCGTGCGCCGGCGGGGCCCGCCGAGGCGTCGCCCGGTGGGCGCGTCGTGGGCGCCCTTCCTCCTGCTCCTCCTCCTCCCCCTCCTCCTCCTCCTCCTCCTCCCTCCTCCTCCTCATCGTCCTCCTCCTCCTCTCCTCCTCCTCTTCTCCTCCTCCTCCTCCTCCTCCTCCCTCTCCTGCTCCTCCTCCTCTTCGTCCTCCTCCTCCTCCTCCTCCTCCTCCTCCTCCTCCTCGTGGGCGCCCCGTGCGCTGGCTGGTCTTTCCGAGGCTTCGCCCGGCGGGCGCCCGTGGGCGCCCACGCGGGGTCCGCTGTAGACTGCGCGACGTATGGCCTGCACCGCGCAGGCTGCGCCGCACGGCGTGCACCAGATCGGGCGCACCGCACATCTTCCATTCCAGATCTAAGTCGGGCGTGTCCTTTTGCAGGAGGAAGATCCAGAAATACTCCAAAACTAATGTGGGGACGATGTTTTAACTATCTAAGATCATGTTGGGGTGTTTTTCTATTGTTTTTCCCAACCATCCTGTGGTGTTGGGTCCTCGTTTTGAAGAAACGGTCCGCGCGTTCCTCCTTCTCCTCCTCCTCCTCCTTCTCCTCGCCCTCCTCCCTCCTGCGTTCGCATGCCTCCCCACCACCCATTTCGGCACACCCCTCACACGTTTCGTGGCCCCATAGGCAGCTCCACCGAAGGCCCCAGTGGCTGCGTTCGCATGCCTCCCCACCACCCATTTCGGCACACCCCTCACACGTTTCGTGGCCCCATAGGGAGCTCCACCGAAGGCCCCAGTGGCTGCGTTCGCATGCCTCCCCACCACCCATTTCGGCACACCCCTCACACGTTTCGTGGCCCCATAGGGAGCTCCACCGAAGGCCCCAGTGGCTGGGTTCGCATGCCTCCCCACCACCCATTTCGGCACACCCCTCCACACGTTTCGTGGCCCCATAGGGAGCTCCACCGAAGGCCCCAGTGGCTGCGTTCGCATGCCTCCCCACCACCCATTTCGGCACACCCCTCACACGTTTCGTGGCCCCATAGGGAGCTCCACCGAAGGCCCCAGTGGCTTCGCATGCCTCCCCACCACCCATTTCGGCACACCCCTCACACGTTTCGTGGCCCCATAGGGAGCTCCACCGAAGGCCCCAGTGGCTGCGTCGCATGCCTCCCCACCACACATTTCGGCACACCCCTCACACGTTTCGTGGCCCCATAGGGAGCTCCACCGAAGGCCCCAGTGGCTGCGTTCGCATGCCTCCCCACCACCCATTTCGGCACACCCCTCACACGCTTCGTGGCCCCATAGGGAGCTCCACCGAAGGCCCCAGTGGCTGGTCCGCATGCCTCCCCACACCCATTTCGGCACACCCCTCACACGTTTCGTGGCCCCATAGGGAGCTCCACCGAAGCCACCGGTTCGCATGCAGCACCCAATAGGAGTTTGGCTGCGTTCGCAACCCACCACATTTCGGCACACCCTCCCACATTAGGCCCCATAGGAAGAGCGTACTCACACACCAGCATTTTTTCGCATATGGTTGGGTCTTTTCGCCAGGCTAATTTTTTCGTCCAAAATCCACCTGTAGGGGGACATGCCCGACCTAATTCTTTACGCTTCGCGTATCCCCACCAGCCCATCTCACAACAGCAACTCTTGCGAAGCATGCCGACAGTCGTGTTTTTCAGGCGTGTGTCCGCTTGGCCCCGCATATCTCCCCTGTTCCTCCTTCCTCCCGCCTCCTTGTACATCCTCCTTGTGGGGGGAGCGGGAGAAGGACGAGGCGGAGGAGGAGGGAGAGAAAGCGCTCCTCGTGGTTTGAGTCGTTTGGGGTTTCTCGTCCTGGTGTGAGTCGTTCGGGCCCTTCTTCCTGGTGTGAGTCGTTCGGGCTCTTCGTGGTGTGAGTCGTTCGGGCTCTTCGTCCTGGTGTGAGTCGTTCGGGCTTCTCGTGGTGTGAGTTGTTCGGGCCCCTCATCCTGGTGTGAGTCGTTCGGGCCCCTCCTCCTGGTGTGACTCGTTCGGGCTCCTCGTGGTGTGAGTCGTTCGGGGCCCGCGTCGTGGTGTGAGTCGTTCGGGCTCCTCGTGGTGTGAGTCGTTCGGGCGCCTCGTCCTGGTGTGAGTCGTTCGGGCCCCTCCTCGTGTGTGAGTCGTTCGGGCTCTTCGTGGTGTGAGTCGTTCGGGTCCCTCGTCCTGGTGTGAGTCGTTCGGGCTCCTCGTGGGGCCTCTTGGGGGCCTCTTGGAGCGTCTGGGGGCCTCTTGGGGGCCTCTTGGGGGCCTCTCGGGGGCCTCTTGGGAGCCTCTTGGGGGCTCTGGGGGCCTCGTGGGGGCCTCTTGGGGGCCTGTTGGGAGCCTCTTGGGGCCTCTTGGGGGCCTCTTGGGGGCCTCTTGGAGGCCTCTTGGGAGCCTCCTGGGGGCATCTTGGGGCCTCTTGGGGGTCTCTTGCGACTTCCTCAGAAGCGCAAATGAGCGCTACCCCCTGAGAGAGACAAAATGAGCCCAAAATCTTCGTAAAACCAATGGTTTTGAGAACAAGGAAGAGGAGCGCTGCCCCCTCAGAAGGCCAAAATGGGGCCGAAACCGTAGTAAAATCAATGATTTTGGCTTCACAGAAGAGGAGAGGGTTTTTTTAGCGTCCCCCCGTCGAGGCCAGAATCCTCGTGAGGGTCGTCGTTTTTTGGCCCTCCCAGGAGTCGAAAAAGACCCCTCCAACGACCCGCGGAACTCCCTCTCCAGGCCCAGGGGGAGGGGGTAGGGGGAGGGGTAAACCCCTCCCCGAAGGGGAAGAAGGGGGGTTGGGGGGTTGAGGACAGAGAAAGCTCTCTAAACCACTCACGCCCAAAGGGCTGGTGGGATTCCAGATCTTGTACCACACAGACTGCGCTGCAGAGCCTGCCTCTCTCTCTCTCTCTCTCTCTCTCTCTCTTACCTGCATCACGTAGATTGCGCCACGCACATTGGCCCACTGATAGCACGCACCCGTGATGTAGTAACTCACTGTGTGGGGCCCACGCTGGCAAACGCTACGGTCGGAGCGAGGCGTAAGATCGTGCTCGGTCGGGGGAGGGCACCAGATGTCGCTCGCTGTTTGCATGTTTGCGTGCAGCCTGAGGAGGGTTACCCTCGAATGCTCTTCAGTTTGACAGCTTCGTTCGTTCGTTCCGTCAGGGCCGGGGTTCCAGGCCATACCTTTCCGTGTTCACCATGGCTTCTTCGACAGGCCAGGCAGTTAAGACCGGGTGACTACTCGGACGGGACCCGTAGACTTTCTGTTTGGGAGTCTTCTTGCAGGCGGTTTGGCGTATGCTCTTGTAGAAACTAAGTATGTCCTTGTCCCGACTGCATCACAACGGCAAGCGAACGGGATGAGTTTTCATGATCATGGGCAGACGAGCGCAGGTGGGCGCACCGGCGCATCAATGGTGGCCAGGGGGCGAACCAGTCTCGCATCACTCAGCTGAGCCACCGTACGTGCGAACATTCATATTCGATTGACACATCCATGTGCGGACCTTTCGCGCGTCGCTGCGACGATGGCGGGCGAGCTTCCAGCGCTGATGAACATGCCCTCATCGGGTTGGCGGGCACAGAGCATCTATGCATGTGCGTGGCTGCCCCGGGGTCTCTTGGAGGCTTGAGCGGGTCCATCGGGAGCCAGCCCGAGCGCGACTTCCTCCGCGACACGTACAGGCGCCCGCGGGTTGGGGCAGCGCAGGTGCAGGCAGGCCGATCGCCAGGCCCCTCCAGAGCCCGCGAGGCCCGCCCTCCTCCTCCTCCTCCTTCTCCTCCTCCTCCTCCTCCTCCTCCTCCCCCTCCTCCTCCTCCTCCTCCTCCTCCTCCTCCTCCTCCTCCTCCTCCTCCTCCCCCTCCTCCTCCTCCTCCTCCTCCTCCCCCTCCTCCTTCTCCTCCTCTTCTCCTCCTCCGTCTCCTCCTTCTCCTCCTCCTGGTAGCACGGGCCCCGCCCAGGTGCTGGCCCCGTCCGGCCGCTTGAGACGGTCTTGGCATGGCTCGGGCGGGTGCATTTTTTTTCGGCGAGGGCCATCGAGGAGCAGCCTGGAGCATCCTGCGGAAAGGCATAGCACCGAGCCGAGACCTGTACGGGAGATGGACGCCCGAGCGGTGGCAGCTCTGGCCGGCCCGGGCGAAGAGCGCCCGCCCGCCCCCTTTCCCCCACCCCCTCGGATCGGACGAGAGGAGGGGACAGGTCTGGGCCTCCCAGATGACGTCCGAGCAGAGGCGTATCGGAGGACAGCGCCGCATCGCCGATGCATCGCCGATGCGGCTCGACGTGGGGCCCGATTTTCTCCACGCCGACGTCATCGATGCATCGCCGATGCATAGGCGATGTGTAGTGCGATCCCCCGACCCCATCCACTCGGACCCCATTGGGGAGGCATCTGGATGGGAAGGGGCGGTGCGAAGTCCGCCGCGTGCAGCCGGTGTCGGCCCCGCCGCCGGGCGCCTTCCTCGGTACACCGGCGCCTCTGGCGCGGGGAGGCGTCGGCGGAAGCAGCTGCGTGAGCTGCTTCGCTGCACCCCCCTGTGCCGTCGCCCCCTTTATTAGGGGAGCACATGCGAACCCTACCTACCCCTACCCCGGCCCCCCACCATTTCGGAGGGGGAGGGTGGGGTTCACTTCGTTCGGGAGGTCACGAGCGAAGTGAACCCCACCCTCCCCCTCAGAAATCGTTGGGGGGTAGGGGTAGGGTTCGCATGTGGCCCCCTATTTATTGCCCCACCCGATCCCCCCGTGCCCAGGTTTCATCCCCCCTCGGGGTCGGTGTTGCTCCTCTCGCTTCTCGGGGGTGGGGAAAGTCGGAGTCAGAGGACGACGAGTACGACGACGAGCAGTGAAGGGAGCTAGAGGAAGAGCGGGCGGAGGATAGGTATGAGGAGGCGTCGTGGCCGTAGCCATTTTGGCTCCAGCCAGTTGGCTCTAGAAATTTGGCTTGAGCCATTTTGGCTCTCAAGCGTGGCAGGCGCCGCTAGCTCAAGCCTGGTGCCCCGCTTCCTTGTGCGCATGCTCCAGGGCTGAACCATAGAATGGTGTGCTCGCTTGAGCGCCTACTGTCATCGCGTGAACGCCGGAAAAAGCTGGGCTGTTTCGCATCATCCTGAGTCAGTGCAGACTACACAGGTCTTGCTTCTGCGCGAGCAAATCACACACGAACAGTCTTGACGTGATTGTTGTTGTTGAACTCCCATGCCAAAGTATTCACTATTGTTGATGCCCCCCTCTGGTGCCCACTGTGTTTTTTTCCACCGAAGTGCCCCTCCCGGGGCTCGCACCCTGTTGTTCACGAGGGAAGGTCTTGGACCTCAGATGGGGCCCCGGGCCGCCCAACTACAACAACGGCTCCCGCCCGATACCTCCCCACAACTTATTCGAAACCGTGCCCTCGCGCGGGAGGTCTTCACAGTTTCCTTAAACGCCCCGCCCAACTACAGCAACGGCTCCCGCCCGATACCTCCCCACAGCTTATTCGAAGTCGTGCCCTCGCGCGGGAAGCTTTCACAGTTTCCCTAAACGCCCTCGCGCGCGGGACTTGTGAGGCGCGGCGCCCTCGACGTTCAGGCGTCACGCTCCCGCGTGGATTTCCGTGCGAATTCGAAAATTGCGCTATCACTCGACGCCTTGATTCATGCAGGACTGATGCTTCAACGACCCGCCCGCTTGACCCGGCCGTCTGGGCCCGCCCATTAGAGTGCGCCCGCCCGACCCCGGTTCTGCCGCTTGTTTTCCGGTTTCAACCCCCCCTCTTGCTAATCAGTCTCGTCTTCCATCTTCTCCCTTCCCTTTTGTCTTTTCTCTCCTCCCTCCCTTCCCTTGTTTGAGGGATTGCGCCAGCTACGCGTGCCAGGTAAGGACGAGATACGCCCAGGGGGGGCACGATCGGAGACGAAGAGGGCGGGTATCGAGGGCTTGGGATACACATGTTGAGCTGCATGCGAACACACAAGAACGAACAGTCTTAGAGTGATTGTTGCTGTTGCGTATTCACTTCTGGAGAACAGATATTGTTGATCTGGGGAAGATTGACGGAGCGCTCTCGCTCGAGAGTGGGGTACATTTTTTTGATCACGAGGTTCACGCTCGAGGGCGGGCTTCGTTCCCAACAACCAAAACAACAGCAGCAGCAGCAACAACAACAGCAACAGATCTCGCATGAGACCTCCTCGCAAACTATTCAGGATCCACGCTCGTGCCCGAGACTTTCTTCCAATTTGCCCAGGAGTCGCACTCTCGCCTGAGACCACTCACCGTTGACGAAGTGCAAGATGTGTCTGGTCGCGCTGGCGTCCTGCAAGCAGTGCCCGCGGCCAGCGCCGAGGGCGAGTTAGCCCGCATGCGGGCTATGGCGGCATGGTGCGCCTACGGGGTGCACGGCTGCTTGCTTCGGGCAGGGGCTGCTCTGAACAGAAGCCCCCCTCCTGCCTCCTCCTGGGCTCCTTGACGCCCCGCCCGCCTGGCCCGTGCGCTTGGGGTCCGCACGCCGAGGCCCGCGGTGCGCCCGCGCGACGCGCCCGTTGCCCCCCCCCCCCCCCCCCGTCGTGGCTCGGTTCGATGGAGATGCCCCCCTCGGGGCTCGCAGCCTGTCTTGTTTCAGGGAAGGTCTCGGGGCTCAGACTGCGCCCCTGGCCCTCGGCTTGCAACGGCAGCGGGTCCCGCCAGGTGCTTCTTCACAATCGCATTCTCGCGTGGGACGTCCTCATGAGTTACTTGGGAGACGCGCCCTCGCTGAGGACCCCCTGGCAATTTATGCAAGCGCCGCGCCATCGACGCCTAGGAATCGCGCTCTCGCGCGCGACTTTCTTGCCGTTTACTCCGTGCTCGTGCTCTCGCTTGAGGTTTCTTCGTAATTCTCGGCGCTTCGCGTACCCCCACCAGCCGTTTCGCGCCCCGTTCGTTGCCCCGCTTCTTGACCTTCGCCAGGGAGCCGCCGACCAAAAAAGTACCCCCACCAGCCCGGAGTATGGCACCAGTGGACGACCAAGAATCCCACGCGGTCTGGCCACATCTGCGCTGACCCCACGCGACAGGACCCCGATTCTTGCGTGCGCTTTCTCAAAGAATGGACCAGTCACGGTTGTGATGTCATGAAGATGGACGAATCGCTTCGTCTGGGGGTCAATTGCCATTTCGGCCGGGCGGACGCCAAGGGCACCCGCCCAATGCGTCTGATTGGTTTGGGTTTTTGGGCAGTGGCCCCCACCTTGGTTTGGCACCTTGGCCCGCTGCGGGCTGTCCCTTCCCGGGCCCCGTTGGCCTCAAGTGCTGCTGGGAGCTTCCGTTCTTCCCCCCCCCGGGGGAGGAAGAGGAAGAGGAGGAGGAGGAGGAGGAGGCAGAGGAAGAGGAGAAGGAGGAGCAGGAGGAGGAAGAGGAGGAGGAGGAGGAGGAAGAGGAGGAGGAGGAGGAGGAGTCAGGGTCCCCCGGCCTCTCCCTCGCAGCGCGCCAGAGCACGGCGCCCCCCTCGCACGCCCGCCGCTCTCGTCGCGCGCCGCTCGCGCGCCGGCTCGAGCCAGACCTCGGGCTGCGGACACGGCGGGGGGCAGGCGTCGATGATCCTCAGGACGCGTGCTGGGCCACTGTGTGTTCTTTCTGTCGCGCAGCTCCGCCGAGAGGACGCGGCCTGCGTCGGTCCTTCTTGCACCGCCTGCGCCGTATTGAGAGGCCGCGGCTGACAAACACACGTTGGCGCGATCACACCTTCTGAGGGTGATCGAAGGGAGATGGGTTGGCGAGAAGCGAGGCAAGAAGAGGCTTTCCCAGCAAATCACCCTAATAGCAGTATAGGTGAAGAGGCGGGTCGAGGAGTCAGGGGTCGGCAGAAGGGGATACGGGTGAGAGCGCGACCACGTGCATCTTAGTGTACTGCTATCCGTGGCCGCCTAGCCCAAACATGCAGCCGCAATTTGGGCGAGAGCACGATTCTTGAATACAGTGCGAGGGAGTCGGGCGAAGCGCCTGCCAGGCTGGGTGGTCCGGGGTTCCCTGTCTCGCCTGCGCCGCCACTAGAACCCTTAAGCAAAGCGCTATGGGGGAAAAGGGGAGAGGAGGAGGAGAGGGAGAAACCGGGCGAGGAGATGGAAGGAAGTGCTCATCGGACAGGTCCTGACGTGCACATCAAGAGGAGGAGGGGCAGGAGGAGGAGGAGGAGGAGGAGGAGGAGGAGAAGTAGGAGCAGGATGAGGAGCAGGAGCAGGAGCAGGAGGAGGAGGAGGAGGAGGAGGAGGAGGAGGAGGCGGGAGGAGGAGGAGAGAGGAGGAGGAGGAGAGCAGGAGGAGGAGGAGGAGGAGGAGGAGCAGGAAGGAGGAGGAGGAGCAGGAAGAGGAGGAGGAGGAGAAGCAGGGGCAGCAGCAGCAGCAGCAGCAGCAGCAGCAGCAGCAGCAGCAGCAGCAGCAGCAGCAGGAGGCGGCATCTCGCTCCCCCCGCCCTCGGCATGGCGGCTGGTTTCTGCGAGTGTTGCGTCCGCAGCGCCCGGATCGCGGAGGCGGTGGTACGGGCCGATATTGCACGCTGGCAGCTCAGCTGATCAGGGTTGGACGAGGAGGAGGAGGAAGGAGGAGGAGGAGGAGGAGGAGGAGGAGGAGGAGGGAGGAGGAGGAGGAGGAGGAGGAGGAGGAGGGGGGACTTGGAGGAGGGAGGAGGAGGAGGAGGAGGAGGAGGAGGAGGAGGAGGAGGAGGAGGAGGAGGAGGAGGGGAGGAGGAGGAGGAGGAGGGAGGAGGAGGAGGAGGAGGAGGAGGAGGAGGAGGAGGAGGAGGATGATGAGGAGGAGGAGGAGGAGGAGGAGGAGGGGAGGGGGAGGGAGGGCATGGAGAGGAGGGAGGAGGGGGAGGAGGAGGGAGGGGTGGAGGGAGGGAGAGAGGAAGGGAGGGAGTGAGGGAGGGGGAGGGAGGGAGGGGGAGGAGGAGGGATGAGCACGACGAGGAGGAGGAGGAGGAGGAGGAGGAGGAGGAGGAGGAGGAGGAGGAGGACCTGAAGGAGTTGGAGAAACTCTCCGTTGAGCCATTCGTAAGGGCGGCGGCCACGCCCCGCCGTGCGCCAACATTTCGCAGGGCCCATTGGCCATCGGCGCCGGGATGGGCCCGTTGTCCCTCAGGACCTGGCCCAGCGGGGCAGGGAGCAGCCTCGAGGGGAAGAAGAGCCTTGAGATCCCGGTGTTGCAACTTTTTTCGCAACGGGCGTATTCGCCCCGTTTCGGGCACCGGGACCCTCACAGATCGATCCGGCTCGAAAAGTGATGCGGAAAGCGATATTGCATTTTTTTTCGCAACGTCGAACCTCAGGGAGAGAGGGCCGGGTGGGTGACCCGGGGGTCGGGGCAAGCCCGCAGGGGCCCGCAGGCCAGGGAGGGGCCCGCAGGCCGCTGCAGCGGACGGTTTTTCTTCTGCGCGGTCCTGCCCTGCAGCGGTCACGCCGCTCGCTCCGCGCTCCCGCGCGCGTGGACGAGGGCGGCGGTGGGGAGCCCCAGGTGGCGAAGCTTGACGGCGAGTTCGTCGAGGGCGGCCACGTCGCGCAGCACCCACGTCGCCACGGTGTCCAGCGCATGATTAGGGCGCATACGTGCGGGAGCCTCGCCCGGGGCAGCCCCCACACATCTGCAGGAATCTCGGGGGTAACTCGTGCCACGCACCAGGCCCTGTAAAACCTCCACGTCGACTTCCCCACCCCGCCCATCGCGGGTCCACGGGCCTTGCCTTCGCAAAGGCAGCACCTGGGCGATGGGCAGCAGCCCGTTGTCGTTGAGCTTGCCCAGCTGTTCGCAGATCCACGCGCGCTCCGCCTCGCGGATCTTCGGCAGCACCACCGCGCGGGCCCACGAGCGGACCGCTTGTCGCCAGGCCCTCGGCCCCGCCGCTGCCGCGGCGGCCAGGTGGAGCGGGGGGGGGCCGGATACGCGGCACGCCTGCGCCACCGCCGCAGCATCCTACAACCAGGCGCCGTCCCCAGCTCTCAGCGCCGCCCGGATCGCAGGCGCCACTTGCGAGTCCTGCATCAGGAGGAGCACCCGAGCCCACGCTGTGAGGACCCGCGTCGCGAGCCTGGCGGCAGCCGCGGTGAGCAAGCGCGTCTCGAGGAAGGCGCGCACGTGGCCTCCTGCGCCGAAGGGCGCAGACGGGGCAAGGCCGAGCAACGCCTTTGCAACGTCGTAGCACACGCGATTTAGCTGCGCAGTCACCTCCTGCCAGCCTCGGCCCAGGGGCAAGCCGCTGCGTCCACGCGGGCAGGGTGCTGTTTAGACTGGAAGGGCAGCCCGAGGCCCAAGTTCTTCGACTCCGTGGCCAGGCGCCTCGTCCCGTCGCGCAGCCTGGGCCACACGCGGGCCAGTAGCAGCTCCAGCGACAGCGCGTCGTCAATTACGACGCCCAGAGCCGTTAGATCCGCAGCACGGCGGCCAGGCCGCCTGTACAGTGGCGGGGCCGCCCATGGCCGCGGGGCCTTCAGCCTCGCAGCCTCGCCTCGTCAGGATGGATGACGAACGTATCATCCACGAACTGTACCATCAGGAGAGACATCGCGATGTCCTCTGGCACGGCGAAGTCCTAGGAGATCCTTGGCGTCGCCGTTCGGCAGAAGTCGCCAGCAATGCCCTGATCAGGGCACTGAAAAGGTGCACCCCAGCCTGGCGCCCGTTGCCCACGCCGTGACCGACGAGGGCGTGGATCGGCCCGACCAGTTGGTCTAGGCGAAGGCGAACGCATTCTTCGCCCACGTAGGCGGCAGCGGCAAGCCAGAAACGTCCGCGCAGCCCAGCGCGCCTGAGCTGCAACATCACCCCGTCTCTCCAAGCCAGGCCAAATCCGTCCAGCAGATCCGCCATCTGGATGATCGTGCGCCGTCCCTGTCGCATGCGGACTTGCAGGGCGAGTGGTAGTCCAGCTGTCATGAGATCTGCATCGAACGTCCAGCTGGCCTGCCTTCTCCCTCGAAGCGCTCCGGAAGGGGGCGGGTGACAGCCAGCCACTCTGCATCGAAGTAGCCCTCCAAGTCGTCGATTTAGCTAATTGGCCTCAGGTTCACTACGTCCGTGACGACCCGGGGCCCCTTCTTGCGGATCGGCGCGACCTCTCTCACCCACGCCGAAGCCCCCGATCCGACCACCAGACTGAGATTAAGCAGCGCCCAGGTGGCCAAGAGGCCGTAGCCTCACACCGCGCGGTCCAGCATCGCATGCCGAGTGCACTTCCGCGACCCCGCCGCCGTCCAAGCTCGAACCGAAGTATTGCGCACCGCCGCCACCGCCCACCCAGCGAGGAAGTGCAGCGGAGGAGGATCGACTGCACGTAAGAGTGACCTTTCGCCGGGGTGACCTTTGGTGCGGGCCCAATGGGATCCCCCGATCGCCGAGAGCGATGGGGCAGTAGCGTCTTGCGCGCTTGTGTGTTGGCCCCCCCGTGGCCCCCCAAAAGCCGCGCACCAAAGGTCACTCTTACCCAGGGTCACTCCTGCGTGTAGCCGAGAGGAGGGAGGAGGAGGAGGAGGAGGAGGAGGAGGAGGAGGAGGAGGAGGAGGAGGAGGAGGAGGAGGAGGAGGAGGAGAGGAGGAGGAGGAGAGGAGGTAGGGAGGAGGAGGAGGAGGGGAGGTAGGAGAGGAGGAGGAGGAGGAGAGGAGGGAGGTAGGAGTAGGAGGCGGAGGGGAGGGGAGGAGGAGGAGGAGGGAGGAGGAGGAGGAGGAGGAGGAGGAGGAGAGAGGAGGAAGGAGAGGAAGGATGAGGAGGAGGAGGAGGAGGAGGAGGGGGAGGAGGAGGAGCTGCGCGATATCACGGCTTCAGTCGAAAACGAAACCTGCGAGCGGCGCTGCTGCTCGGCCTGGCTTAGAAGCCTTGTGGCCCACTTACCCTCATCAATCGCCTCCTCCTCTCCTCCTCTCCCTTCCTCTCTCCTCCTCCTCCCTCTCCTCTCCCTTCCTCACCTCCTCCTCCTCCTCCTCATGGGCATCACTGTCTCTTTTTTTTTTTTCTCTCTCTCTCTCGCTCTCTTTTGCGCCCCTTCCTCTTCCTTCCTATGTGGAGCAATCGTATTCGTACACGGATTGGCCAGCCCTCTCATCTGAGAGTGCGCGAAACATCTTGTGCAAAACCAAACCTTATGGGCACACGACAGACGCATTATGTGAGTCCCCTCAGCTCAGTCCCCAGCAGCGTGTAGCCGTCCCCCACAGGAAGGGGCCCCGAACTTATCACTAACACAAGCAGGCTGGAAGCGTTCACAGGCAAGCCATTCAGATGCCGCAGCTTCTGTCGCAGAGCCGGCACAACGCGTGCACCTCTGCTTGGACTCATCCAAGCAGTGCTGAGAAGCGAGAGCGCGAACGACCGAGGGGGCAGGATCGGAGGCCTGGAAATGGACACCAGCGCCAACACAAGAGGGTTGCCTCCACAGGCGGAAGATGATCCTAGATTTCGGTGTTGGTGGTGATATCTCGGCCACCTTGGAGGCCAGAATCTTACCACCATCACCGAGGTCGGGATATCCTTTCCTCGGTGGAGGCACACCCCCGAAATTGGTGTTGGTGTCAACCTCTTGGCCTGCGACAAGAGGAGGAGGAGGAGGAGGAGGAGGAGGAGGAGGAGGAGGAGGAGGAGGAGGAGGAGGAGGAGGAGGAGGAGGAGGAGGTCCCTTCACCCTCGCGGGCGCTCCGCAGCCCTCGGCCTGCAGCGCGTCGAGGGTCGCCCCCAACAAGCCGTGCCCGACGATCCAGGCCGTCCTCCTCGATGCTCATGATTCGGGTTATAATGTTCCAACCTGCTTTAGCGTTGACCGCCAGAAATAATTTCGAGCCCCCGAACAAGTACCGAAACTCCAGCAGGGTTTTCACGTGTCGGGCCCTGGGCGAATCGCGACACTGTTTCGACACTGATTTCGCCACTCTTTCGTCACTTTTCCAGGTGCTTCGAAATTATTTCTGGGTGTGGTCCTTAAGTACGATGGGAGCAACATAAGATTCGGGCGGAATCCTACCTTCCTGCGTCGCTTGGGCGGCCAACTCGTCCACAAAATGATTCCCGACGGCAGGCCAAGACGGAGTGTCAGTGTCACTGATCCGTTTACTTTTCAGACGCGGGGTCACAAGGAGGAGGAGGAGGAGGAGGAGGTCCCTTCACCCTCGCGGGCGCTCCGCAGCCCTCGGCCTGCAGCGCGTCGAGGGTCGCCCCCAACAAGCCGTGCCCGACGATCCAGGCCGTCCTCCTCGATGCTCATGATTCGGGTTATAATGTTCCAACCTGCTTTAGCGTTGACCGCCAGAAATAATTTCGAGCCCCCGAACAAGTACCGAAACTCCAGCAGGGTTTTCACGTGTCGGGCCCTGGGAGACACTCGTCCGACACTGTTTCGACACTGTTTCGACACTCTTTCGACACTTTTCCAGGTGCTCGAAATTATTTCTGGGGTGTGGTCCTTAAGTACGATGGGAGCAACATAAGATTCGGGCGGAATCCTACCTTCCTGCGTCGCTTGGGCGGCCAACTCGTCCACAAAATGATTCCCGACGGCAGGCCAAGACGGAGTGTCA